TTGTAGCCTCTATTAATTTTATACTTTTACATTTAGATCTTCAGAGTACTTGGAATTTATTTCTATGTATTATATAAAGTAGGATATTACTTTATTCTCCATCAGGTATCTAATCAATTATCCCAGGAGTCTTTCCCCACCACTGATGTGAAATGCTGTCTTCCTCATTTTTAAAACCCCTACGCTCAGTTCTGCTGATTTAATCAGGGGTCCATGAGTGGGATGGAAGGCTGGTGTCTGAAGTGGGCTAAGGAAGTGCTGAGTGGGGAGGAAGGAAGGCCTTCCAGACAGAGGGGAAGCATAGGGAGAGGTCCTGTGGCGTAAGAAGTGAAGTAAGGCAAGTCTGTCATGCAAAATGAGATTCTGAGCGAGGAGGGGCCTCTCAGCCTCCCATGGGATGTACAGGAAGCTTTTGTGAATGTTGAGGCCCTTCCATAACAGACAAACTGACCTGGTTTTGTACCCTGCTTCTCTAGGAAACCCTTCCTTGCTGTCTCCCCACCCGCACCACGTGCCGTCACACTTGCCACAGGACACTGTAGCTGTCTGACAGTCTGTCCCTCTGTCGGGACTGGATGTTTTTTTGCAGTCAGCTTCCTGCCGTACTCATCTTTGTATTCTCATCGTCTAGCATGGCACCTGGTGCAAAGACAGTTTGTTCAAGGGTATTTGTTCACTGAATGAGTGAACAAGATCAAAAAGGTCCCTGCCCTTCTAAAAATGTCAGCTTTGTTGTGCAGCGCAGCACACGCGCTGCAGTACAGCTAAGAAACGACAGTTGTTCTATCACTACCGTCCTCGGCCTCACATGAAGGTTTTCACTTAGGATTCTCGTGTCTGGAGCTTCCTGGGGAAGACAGCGGCAGGTTTCTGGGCACTCCTGTCTCCAGCAGACCTGCAGCAGCCCTTCTCCTGCGCGTGTTATTATTTCAGACGAAAGCCTCACATGTATATACCACCCGATAGGACAGCAGTGAGAAGAGAGGATGGAGAGATGGATTTCCCGGGGGGAGCCACAAGCTGAGCAAAACACAGAAAAGGAACGAGGGAACCAGCGTGAAGGGTGTTAAGGAAACACTTTATGCATGACTTTTTGTATTATTTTCAGAATGGAATGTTAAAACATCTGCTCTCTTTTATTTCCTCCAGAACCATTGCATGGAGAACTGACTGACTTGGCATCCATTGCTGACATTTTAGGTTTTTATTTGTGCTGAAGTGAAGCAGCTTCATGAGAATTCAGCGCATTAGTTTGGCTTTTCCACTTGGTTTAAAATACACATGCGACAATACCATGTGTACCTGCTTCATGCCTGTAGCATGGGAGATTTCTTGTGATGGTCATTGAGGGGATTTTTTTTTTTTTTAACTCCTGGCAGTGAATGTTAGGACCCTTTCCAGAATGAGTTGCAGGGCAAGGCGTCAGTAGAGCAGGCTGAATGGTAATGTGCAGCACAGAGACTGCTCTCAAGATGTTCCCGACTGGCCACATGAGATTCTTCTTGATCCTGGACCCAGCTGATGTGGGAAGACCCCTAAAACACAATTTGTGCCATCTTCATAGTTTTCAGAGCTGTAGGTAATACTAAACTATGCAGAAACCTATTTTTCAGTTAATTAAAGGAGAAGAGGCTTAGAGGAGATATTCGGGATCATAGTTCTCAGGAAAAAATGAATGTATCAGGCTTTAAAAAGGAGAAAGAGACATATGTAACCTTTGAGGTCAGAGCTTTAGTTCTCCTGACGTTACAGTCCTTGGAAGTGCATGTGTGTGTGTTGTGTGTATGTTTAGGCTTCAGTACACTTGAACTTGCTTTGTGGTCTGGTAATAAGAGTGTTTAATCCAGGTCACATATTCATTTTACCAAATCACACCTGAGCAGAATCCCAAGTGGCATTAATATCACCTTAATCCATAAAATAAATATTTTTTTCAAGAGGCGTGCAGTAAAGAACTGAAAACTCAAGAGATGTTTCAGTGTCTCTGTCCTAGATTGGAAGTAGGAAATCTTATTTACCTAGGTGTTAGTGATAACTGTTTTAGGATCTTAATATATGTATTCATATTAGTCATAGGTTGTAGTTAAGGCAAAACAATAACTTTACACATACTTGGCTGAGCTTCTCAAACTAAGAGCAGATAAGATTAAACGCTGGGTAAAGTATATAAAAGAGGGTTCTCTAAGGACCCACTGTCATGGGCTGAAAATCAGAAGACACTCCTAAGTAATAATTTATCTGCTAGATATCTCACACTTTGCCCCAATATGAACCACATGTATCACCTAATTGGATTGTATTTCATTCCAAACTATGCCTTTTTAACAAAGTGACAAGAAACCTTTGAAGTATCTACCAGTTGTCTGAATTTAATTACTTGGTTCCAGGTTAGATAAGTACATGTCAGTAGACAATTATAAGCACTGAAAATAGCTATCAAGTTCAAGTTCAGGAACATTTAAAACTATTCACTAGAGAAAAGTATTTGCATGTTATCACTGGTATATATTTCTACACTTTATTTTTCTAGAATGACCAGAATCAATCATCAGTAAAATGGCTATTTCAGTGTGGGGAGAAAACTATAATACCACCAGATGCTTGTCCTCCTAGTTTGGTATTCTCTCCTGCTTTTCTTCCTTTACATCCAAATTTGAACTACTCTGTCAGATACAGATAATTTCTCCACAAAAGGGGCACAGGTAGGAGGAGGAGATAAACAAGTTGATCCTAAGCATTCCCCTTCTTACCCTCCCCACCCTTTTTTCTGCTATATTTTCCAACAAGAGAAGGTAGTCCAATACCATCCATAGCTTTCTGCAATAGGCTGGAATTTTTTCCCTTTGTTGACAGTGGTTTACTTTTATGAAATATGCAAATTATAAGAATGAATTGCTAAAGTAATTTCCTTGGCCTCAGGTCATTATATATTTGGATGAATTTGCTGCTGAAGAATAAAAATTCATGTTCAGGGAATGAAAGGATGGAAACCTTGTTCATGCCCCATCTGAATGAGTGAGAATTTCACAGACGGGGTGCCAGGTTTGTCAGTTGATGCACATTCATAAGAAACTGAAACTTCACTAGGTTTTCCAAGCCAGTGTTGCTACTCTTAGGGGATATACACTGGCTGAATTGTCAGAAGAGGGTTACACAGGGACGCCAGGAACTGCTCTTCACAGATGTTCTTTTCAGAAAGCAAAGCAATGTGACAGCATCTATAGAGAGCCTCCAGCCAGATTCACCAAGGCTGGCGAGAGGGAGGAACTGGGGGCCCCCACGAGGTACCTCCTTGCTCCATCTGGCTTACGAATGTTTTTGGAGGAGAGGACACTGTCATACAACAGGCCCTCTGTTGCCTCCTTCCACGGTCCATCCAGCCCCTGGGTACTTCTGTGTTTATGAGATTGAATAAAAAACCAGCATATTCCTTTTGGAAAACATCAGGCTTTTAATTAGAAGTAAAAGTCACTGCTCTAAAGGGAAGAAACAAGTAATACATAATGTGATAATAGATACTTGAAAGGAAACTCCATGGTAAATTGTCCCAGCTCTCTGGAGAGGTTTCTCTGGTTGGCTTCAGGAACTAAAGTGCTTTCATGGAGAAATTCTGCCTGCTCCTTAGAATTCCCAGAGGCCTTGCCTGCAACCTGATTGTTTAATGGGCAAGTCAGGGAGGGTGGTATTTCAGAAGGGCTTGGACCCTAGACCCTGAGGCCAAACCCAGTATCATGTTTCACAGTGGTCCTCTGAGCAGCGGGTGTGTGGGCTAAGAATTCATCCAAACTGCAGAGTTGCACGGGACGCAGAACTCCAATCCCAGGGCTGTCCTTTCCAGGGAGGGGGATGAGGAGTTGCGTTGCTCAGCACCTGCTCTCCTCTGAGTCAGGGTTATTTTCAACTTGATGGGTCTGTAATTTTTTTTTTACAAGGCCAAAGGAAATTGATATTAGTTCATACCCTGTCTCTCAATCTTCACAGTTAGCTTGTAACTTTAAGCATAGAAACAATTCATTACAGATCCTCAAAATTCATGTCATAATTTATGTTTAATTAACTGAGGTCATATAGGGATAACTCCAATCTTAAGAGAAACCCAGGAAAACAGTATAATTTAATTGATTTACTGCAGATCTTTTGTTGAATCTCAACCACTTTGTATTCTGAGAGGCATTAAACTTCCCAGTGAACATAGATTCAGTACAGCCATGCTGACTGAGCAGGTTAGAAAACCAGATGCTACAGATAGGAGTTCTTGAATAAGAATACAGTATTCTCCAGATTGCTTATTTCTCTCATTTTTCACTAGGATGTGGAGTTATATAACATGGAGTTTGGTGATTAAATGTATAGCCATTTGAGTTCAGTTCATCTTCTAGTTTTTTTTTTTTTTTAAGATTTTTTTTTTATTTATTTGAGAGGTAGAGTTACAGACAGTGAGAGGGAGAGACAGAGAGAAAGGTCTTCCGTCCCTTGGTTCGCTCTCCAAATGGCTACAACAGCTGGAGCTGTGCTGATCCGAAGCCAGGAGCCAGGTGCTTCTTCCCGGTATCCCATGTGGGTGCAGGGGCCCAAGTGCTTGGGCCATCTTCTACTGCTTTCCCAGGCCACAGCAGAGAGCTGGGTTGGAAGAGGAGCAGCCGGGACTAGAACTAGCACCCATATGGGATGCTGGCACTACAGGCAGAGGATTAACCTACTGTGCCACGGCGCCGGCCCCTCATCTTCTAGTTCTGTTCCCAAACTGATGACCTTGGGAAGGCTGTTTAATCTGCCTGTGCCTCAGTTTCCTCCTCTTGTAGAGTGGGGCCAGTATTAGTACGCACCTCATAGAGTTGTGAAGATTAAATGAGTAAATGCGTATCACCAGCACACAGTAAGCATGCCAAGTTCATCACTGTGAGTAGCAGGAGATGTTTCTAGAAATGTGTCAGTGTGTCTTCATGGGAACTGCACTGAATTCTCTTCTTGGTTGAATTCTCTTCTCTCCCCTCCAACAGGAAAATGGCAAATGCATGACAGTGGCCTCCTGAACATCACCAAGGTGTCTTTCTCAGACCGAGGTAGATACACGTGTGTGGCTTCCAACATCTATGGCAGTGTGAACAACACGGTGACCCTGAGAGTCATCTTTACCTCTGGGGACATGGGCGTCTACTACATGGTTGTCTGCCTCGTGGCCTTCACCATCGTCATGGTCCTCAACATCACCCGCCTGTGCATGATGAGCAGCCACCTGAAGAAGACTGAGAAAGCCATCAACGAGTTCTTTAGGACAGAAGGTGCAGAGAAGCTGCAGAAGGCATTTGAGATCGCCAAGCGGATCCCCATCATCACCTCAGCCAAAACTCTAGAGCTTGCCAAAGTCACCCAGTTCAAAACCATGGAGTTTGCCCGCTATATTGAAGAGCTTGCCAGGAGCGTGCCTCTGCCTCCTCTCATCATGAACTGCAGGACGATTATGGAGGAGATCATGGAAGTGGTGGGGCTGGAGGAGCAGGGGCAGAACTTTGTGAGGCATACTCCCGAAGGCCAGGAGGCTGCAGACAGGGACGAGGTCTACACGATCCCCAACTCTCTGAAGCGAAGTGACTCTCCCACCGCCGACTCAGATGCCTCGTCCCTGCACGAACAGCCTCAGCAGATTGCCATCAAGGTGTCCATTCACCCACAGTCCAAAAAGGATCACGTGGACGAGCAAGAGGGTGCACAGTCTGAAGTCAAAGATGAAGAGGAGACAGAACCATCGGGCGAACATTCCCCAGACACTGCAGAGCCTTCTACAGATATAACATCCACGGAACTAACGTCTGAAGAGCCGACCCCTGTTGAGGTATCAGGTCGAGGGCTGCCACCACCTCACCCGGAGACTGCAGAGCCAGCAGTGACACATGACAAAAACACCTGCATTATTTACGAAAGCCATGTCTAATATCAACTCCGAAAAGCTATGCATATCAAGAAAATCAGGGGCTGCTCCTTGTAATACAGATGTAGTACGCACTTGCCGCCAAGCCTTACCAGGAGACTCTCATCCCTTAGGTAGGAGTGATGCCGTTTTAAAAGGGGAAACACCCGTGTGCAGTGTATGCGACTGGAATTTCCCCAGTAGGAAAGGATGCAAGCAACATCAGGGCGCGAACTGATCATGTTGGACAGAAGGTGTCTGTCCACACGATGTGAATTTCAGAGGCCATTCTCTGCCGAATCCTTTAATTGGTGTTGCCCTTTTGGCAAAGAGTACACTACTGTAAGATATCCTGAGTTAAGAGCCCTGTCCAATGCATACTGCATTGCTTTTCCTTTTAAAAATTATAGGTCTGCTACACTAGCAAATGCACGTACTTGGGTTTGTTGCACTTTCTTCTCAGTTTTACTTACTTACTCTCCCTGTTCCTTTATAATGGAGTAGTTAGTCCTCTTTGCCACTTTTGTCCTTATTTTTCCCTCGTACGTTTACCTCACAGGCTTCAGTGTCTGTCATCAGTACCAGGGCTGATATCTACAGGTCATTTGTAATGTTTCAAACTAGCTTTCTAGGCTCTTTTTTTTTTTTTTTCGTTCCCCAAGCCTATTTTCATGCATTGCTTTTTTTGTTTGTTTCCAGTGAAGCTGCTGTTATGAAACTGAGAAAAACTTTGCCCCCAGAATAGCACTTTAATAGTCAAATAAAAATGTATTTACTTATCCAATTCTGAGAGCCTTTTGGTGAGCTCAACTGGAGGGAAATTGTAACAGGTTAAATACACCCTTATTACCCATGGACACCTCTGTTTATGCTTAAGCAACATCAGCCTCCAAAGACTGATTCTTTACCTGGAAAACCTGTTACTTACAAAGACAGATACATTTGCTGAATTCCTGTAGGTTGGCTTTCCAGGAGGGCTTTTCAGGGACCATATGCCATAGGTTGATTCAAACACTTGATCTGACATTTGTGAACTAGTGTAACCAGATCTACTTTTCTTAAATGTATAGCTGACTTGTTGATGGTCAAGGGAGTGAAAAGTTAGCATAATGGCATAAACTTTCTTGTAGAGATTGTTCAATTATTGTTCAGTCACACAAGAAAGCAGTTACATATGAGGGTGCATCATGTTATGGAAAGAAGACAAAACTAGCCATTGAAAAGTATAATACCTGACTGTGCCCATGACCAGCTGCCTGCTTTGCAAAGTCTGGGACTCAGTTTCCATATCTGTAAGAGCGAGCAGAACAGACGAACCCTGAGCACCATTTCAGTGGTCTCACTCTAACAGAACCAAACATATGTTAGCATCCTTGCTCTCTTCCACAATTCCTTTAAGGGTTTTTGCCTCTTCTCTGGGTCCATCTAACTTTTTTGTGCTGCATTACTTAAAGAAGGAGGATCGGTTTTAAAACATTATAGCATATTAAACAAATTGTGAATTGTCTCCCCCAACCCCCAAATCATTAGGACCACTTGTACAATTTAGATTTAATCCTGTTGAGAATGAGTGTTATCACTTAGAGGTAAGGGAGGCAGTAACCTTCAAGCAGTTACAAGGCCATGACCATGTCAAGTGACAGGATTATGATGTTGGAGGTTCCATGGGCCACACTGGCCATGAGAGAGCATGTCTAGATGTTTAGTCCTCATTCTGTCACCACCTGGGGAAGTGACCATAGGCAGCAGTCTTCCTCTCTGTGGTTTAGTTCTCATCTATAAATTATGTAAGCAGCACTTGATCCACAAAATTGCTTTCAGCTCCAACACAGTTTTAAGGAAAATGTGTGATCTGTGATAGGCTCCATTTCACAGGATAAGCAAAACTGGAGCAAAAATGAAATGCCTGAGACTGGATCCTTTTGCTGATCAAACTTTATAGCAAACATAACTCAGCTCTGTAACTCAGGGCAGTTACAGAAGCAGCAGCTTAAATGGGTTTATTTATAAATCACTGGTATGGAAGGCAATCTGACAAGACATGGAGGTTGATCAGACATCTCTTTCAAGCAGTGAACTACTGACATCTTGTTAGAAGTGTCTGAAGTGGCCGCATTAGTCGTAAGCAATCAAGCGAAATGATGACTCCTGTTTGGGTCCCCTGAACTAAGCTTTTGTGTGTTTGGATTATAGAAATATTTTATTTCCAGCTCTTAGAATATAAAACTTTTCCAGTTGTTAGTGAAGTTACATTCTTACCATGGATTTTGTACCCTCAGAGCAACAACAATATAAGAAGCTCATTTTCTAATATTGTGTGAAATTTTCCCCCTTATGTTCGGTTCTCATTCCTTCTAAAGGAGAAGGCATCTATTCCATCTAGGGAAAATAAGCTACAATAGGGCAGATTTGTTAATGAAGCAAGAGCAGAAATGTGTGACCAAAGAATCTTTCCAGATTGGTTTCTGCTTCTTTAGTCCGCAGTTGATTCAGAGATTTTCGAAACTTTCTCCCTCTTTAAGGCATCAACATGCTCTTCAAATAATAGTAGCCACTGTAAAGGGAGGTTGGTTTATAATGAGAATTTCTCCTGCCAGAAATTCTACATTCTTCCTCTCCATCTTACAGCTTCTTTATGAAGAGAGACCTCCTGCTAGAATATGAAATGCAGACCTCATGACTTCCTGCTGATTTTTCAAAGATCAAATGAGCTGTTCAGCTTCATAAAAATTCACAGGAGCGCATGAATATGTGTGCACATGCACTCTCATGCACATTGGATGCACTGGGGCAGTTTTAAAGATTTAACACTACGTCCTGAGCCCTGTCCTTAGCGTCTTGTGTAGGCATTCTGAAAATCAAACAATTTCTGGTTTGAGTCATCCAGATCACATACCTATCTTGCAGTAATTTTCTTGACATTCTGAAAATGATTCACACCTGTGTGCATATTTAATTCCTTTAGATGATCTGTAAACTTGGATGGTATTTATTCTAAATGGGGAAAATAGAATTTTATATGGAAAATCTATGTAATTTATAATGGTTTTGTTTTATATATTATATTTTCATATCTTTAGGGCACATCTACTATTCTCATCTTTTTGTACATCATACTTGGCAAAAAGAAATACTAATACTTGACTAAAATCTCTAGGAACCAAATGTGATATGTGTGATTATATAATGTGTAGAAATGGCTCTAAAACTATCTGAATGTTCTCATCCATCCCAAGCATTCTTGTGTCACTGGATCTAGAATGATTTGTCTTGGATCTGTATATCTTTTTTGCAATTAAGGCTCAAAGGCTTGACATATCTCTTACAATGGATTCTAGAATCCCCTTCCCTCTCTTTCTTATTGTATGTCTTATTTTTAAATGCATAAGTCATTGTCATTTCCTTTTGAAGAGCAAATGTGAGAACTCAAGAAAGCAACTTAATGGAAAAGAATGAATGAATTTAACTATGGCTGTGTAAATGATTTTTCAATAGACAGATAACATGTTTCAAATCTAATGCTTGGGGTGTTATTTACCAGTGATCCAAGATCTGCTTGACTATTTAGCATGTGAAGAAAATGTGAGGCGCAAAGAATATTTGCATGTTTTGAACAGGCACACTTGAAACAGTGCAGCCAACACAAATCAGCTTGACCAATCCCAGCCCCTGAAAGAAATATTTTGAAAAACCAGACTCCTTTTGTTATACCATTCCAAATATGGTGTTGTAGCTCTGCTGAAATCCTTGAGTGGCAGTCCCTGTGGTTCTGTCAACTTGGGATTTCCTTTCTGATTTTCATTTGGTCTGAAAATGGAGCAGTTAAGCTTGTATTTCAGAGCCTCAAATTTCTCAGTGCAGTTAAAGTGCCATCCTCTACCCACCTTCACATGTCCTTCGGTAGTCCTTTAATTCCCGTTTCCCTTATTGCTTTTTAAACTAACTTATTGGTACTCTTTAAAGATCTACGAAATTTCATTATATTCACATACATATTTTGAGTACCTGTTATCTTCAAGATATTGATATTCACCTATTCACTTAAAAATCCTCCAGTTGATAACCAAGTTAATTTTCCTAATGATTTTTTAGGGTTTCTTCAGTGATTAACTGAGTTTAGGTTAAGCCAATCAATTTGTAGAGTGTGCGGTAGAGGGGGTGAGGGGTGGAAAAAATAAAACAGCCTTGCTTATTGTATTTTTCAAAGGACTGAGTATTTATCTATTATCCAAGAAAATATCATACGAGGATGCTAATGATCTTTAACTCAGATTTTTTTAGAGATGGAATTCCTAAAGGGGCTAGTACTAACACTACCAGCATCATAACTGAAGCAAGAAGATATACACATAGAAAGTTCTAAGAATATTCTGACAAATTATTTTTAACTGACAATAAAAGCCCCCGAATATATCTTTCAGACACCATAGAACTGCTGTAGTTGAGTTAGGATCAAAGATGTCTGCACTTGTGTTTGGTTTGCTGTATTACAGTAGTTCTGGATGTCGTTGGTTAAGTGGGAAAAGAAAATAAATGTTATCTGGGCAGAAATGTTAATCTGGTGATTTTGTGAACTATAAAATGTTCACATTTTTAAAGAGATAAACAAATGACTAATATATAGGTTGATATTACAGTAGCAAAAACAACCATGTTACCCATTCTGTATTTGATTTTTGCTTTAATAAAGGGTTTGCACAGGTCTATGGAATGTGTGTCGTATCCTGCCTGAAGGGCATGTAATTGTGGCCTGATTTACTATTTCCAATTATGTGAAACCTGTCATCAGTTCTTGTCCCTACCTTTTGCATCTGCAGCATTTCTCAGGAAAAGTAAAAAATGAAATAATTATTATGCAAAACCTTATCCAAATTCAGAAGACTTAACTACATCCAAGTTTTATAGCAATTTATTTTTATCTATATCAAGAAGTAATTTTTAGCACTTAACATCAAGCTTTGCTATACAGAATTCAAAAAGACCAGGACAAGCATATCCCCAGAAATTCCACAGAGAGAAGGCCCTAAGGGCAAAACTGCCACAAAACACCTAGACAACACAAAATCCAGGCCAAAGCCAAGAACACACTACATTCTGTAACAATCAGTAAGCTCCAGAAGCTAAACTCCTCTCAGATGAGGTGAGTTGCAGGATGTGTAAGAGAACCAAGAAGAGGAGTAGATGTTTGGCCTTGCAGTTAAGACAGTATTTTAAGATGAAATATTCCACATCAGAATGACTGGGATTTGAATCCCAGCTCCTTTCCCCACTCTAGCTTCCTGCTAATGTGCACCCTGGGAGGCAGAAGGTGATGGTTCATGCAATTAGGTCCCTGACACCCACTTAGGTCACCTGGATTGAGTTCCCTGCCTCAGCCTGACCCAGTGCTGGGGACTGCAGGTATTTGGAGAGTGAACCAGTGAACGGGAGTGCTCTCAGTCTCTGTCTCTCTCCTTATCAAATAAAAAAAAAATTTACTCAGTTATCAAGCTGTATATATAGCCACTCAGAATCAAACTTCAAAAAATTTAATAAAAATATGCTTGGGGGCAGGCATTTGGCACAGTGGTTAAGTCACTCCTTGAAATGCCCACAATCCACATCAGAGTGGCCAGTGTGAGCCCCAGCTTTTCTGCTTCCCATGCAGCTTCCTGATAATGCGTATCCTGGGAGGCAGCAGATGATGGCCCAGACCTTGGGCCCCTGCCAGCCATATTGATATTAAGAGTTCCAGGCACCTGGCTTCAGCCCCACCCAACCCTGGCTGTGGCAGGCATCTGAGGCATGAAACAGCAGGTGGAAAATCTCTTTCAAATAAAATGAAATTTTAAAAATGTTTAAAATATGCTGGCATTAATGAAAAAGTTAACAGTAGCATTACCATAGCAGAGAAAATAGGAAAATTTTGTTCTGAGAAATTTTAGTGAATATTTTCAAGACCCAGAACAAACAGCTGCTAACTACTTTTGCAGGTTTGGGGATGCCATGTTCTGCTTGGGGTTAAAGCAAAGGATACAGGTAAGGTTTAGTATTAATGAGTGATTTTCAAAGAAGTATACCATACTCACCGAGTTGGAAAATCGGTGTGAGGCTACCTGATTTTTTCCCCACAATGTCACCAATGAATAAATGGCTCAGCTCTGTTTCCAAACCTCTAGTAACTGGGGAGCTGATGGTCATACCCTGTCACTGATAGGTTTTAACTGCTGAGTCAAAGATCTGAAAAGTCATATTCCTGGTTCTTGAGCCATCTGTGCCTGGAAGCATGGGTCAGCCCTGCCACTATAAAATTGCCTTCTTGGACCCAGTGTTGTGGTGAAGCCTATAACACTGGCAGCCCATATCTGAGTGCTAATTCAAGCCTGGCTGCTCCACTTCTAATCTAGCTGCCTGCTAATGCACTTGGAAAAGCAGCAAATGATGGTCCTAGTACTTGGGCCCCTTCGACTCACATGGGAGACCCTGATGGAGTTTCTGGCTCCTGGATCTTGGCTTCAGCCTGGCCCAGTCCTGGTCATTGTAGCCATCCGGGGAATGAACCAGCAAATGGAAGATTCTCTCGCTCTCTTACTCCCTTGCCCTCTCTCTCAGTTACTGCCTTTTAAATAAGTTTTAAAAACTTTTTAAAAATTGTCACCTTTACTGTCAACACAGCACTCAGAACTAAATATATAAATATATTCATAAAAAAGAGGATTACAACAAAAGCACAAGTACCCTGGGTTCTACTATATTAATTATGCCACATGGTAAACATCCTTCCAAGTGAAAATTTTCTATCAACATGTATGTTAAAGCAAAATCAAGTACTCTCTCCATCCCTTGAGATACCCTAAGACTAAAACTCATTAAATAAAGTGTTGCTCAAAACTAGAAAAAAAAATGGAACCAGCAGATTCGTTGCCTCAGCAGATTAGTGCTTCTGAAGGAATACTAGAATTGACCTCCTGAAAGAAGTATATTTGATGGTACTTCAAAAAGTTCCTAGGAATTGCATTAATATACTAGCATGGATTACAAAAGTTGTCTGAACCAAAATAAGCATCTTTTAATTCCATATTTTTACAAACTTTATGAAGGGTAAAATCACAATTTTCTTAAGACAGATATCAGCAAATATTAAATAAGTTTAAAAAGAATGAAATTAATAATGCAATATACATTTTTTCAAACAAATTTCTTACTACCCCTATATTTTCAGCCTCTGGCCCAATGTGCATTGAAAAAGTAAATTATTTTGGTGAGCACTTGCAGGCAGCTAACTGAACACAGGGGACTGTTTAACCATTGGCTCATGTTTTAAATGTTCATCATGAAATGGGAAGACCAATGAGCCATGTGAAAAATCACCTAGGCACAGAACTCCAAGAGAAATAGGAGAATTTTATCTTGTTCAGTGTACAGCATCTATTTCCTGAAAATCTTCCTGACTTGGGTGCACCCTTGAGTGATCACTGCCTCTGGTTTGCAGAAGGATTACCAAATAAGTAAAGTCCCAGACCTTTAAGAGGATAAATTATTCTAACTGCCTAGGTTTGTCCACAACGTGGGCAAAAACAAAACAAGTTTGTCTGAAGAAGGTAAAATTATTCTGCAACAGCATTCCAGATAACCCTCACTGTTACAGTGTTTCCATTCTCTTCCTTGCTGGTATTGCATCAGCTGTCCAGCGCGCACATTAAGTTATTATGCATGGGCTAAAATGTTTAGTTATGGAATGTATTCTATCAGAAAGCTCATCTGCATGTAATAGATACCTCATAAGTTCAACATAAAAGAGCTCAAATTTAATGCTGGCTATGTCTGCAACTATTTGAAACACTATAAAAACCAGGACCTGGAAGTATGTATGTAGAAATATATTCATCTAATAAAAAAATTTTAAAGCATTAAAACCTCAGAAAATTTAACTACATGGTCTCCATTCTATGTGAAGGAGAAAAGTGACAACTAATAAGGGGAACCTATGACCAATATTTTTTAAAAGGCAGAATATCAAATCAGCCTAAATTATCTTCACAATAATAACCAAAATGCATTAATGATATATCTGAACAATTCCAGAACCTGAAAAAAATCCAGATTTAAACTACTTGTATTTTGTATTCTTGTTTCATGTTGACTATTTTAAGTTACCTTCTCTCATTCTAAAATAGATTGGGGGTGACTAAATTAACCGCATTTTACTTTCTGTAAATCCTTTGAAATTGGTAATTGCTGTGTTTCATGCAAGCTTACAAACTCACAGGCTACTTTATTAAATATTCCACTCCCAATCCTTCTGAATCAATGAGAGATTTACAGTAGGATTATAAAAGCACAGCAGCTGGATGATCTATAATGTTTATCTGGTGCTAAAAAGGGAAGGCTTTCTGCTATAACACAAATGAGACATTGTTATTATACTATGCTTACATAGAGGGTGTAGAGTGGAAAACAGTTCAAGAATATATAAAACATTCAATGTCCTTCCTTCAAGTCCTTATATATAGATTTGGTTTGCCTTTTTAAATTATTCGAGATTTTTTTAAAACAACTAAAAATAAACATCAATACACACAAAATTATGAACCTTCAGGCTATTTTCCTTTGTCATTAAACATTTATACTAATCAGCATATAAAATGCTAACATAGTAATAGTTTTCCCATTTGTGTAAGGTCTAAGGAAGGTGGTTATTCTTATGATATCTGATTTAGCCAGCTTATTACCAAAACAAAAATGGTCATCCAATTGCTTGCAAAACTGTATATACACTCATTGTGACCATCTAAGCCCTGACTACCATTGTGAATGAGCAGGTTCACTTATGTATTGCCTGTGTTGAGTTTTATCTTTCTGAATTCCCTGAGCTTTGGACATAGAACACATTTTTTAATTAGCCTTTTTGTTTTGAGATTATTGTGGTTTCACATGTCGTTGTAAGAAACTGCTGTGGCCAGGAAGGGCAGTGGAGGATGGCCCAAGTGCTTGGGCCCTGTGCCCGCATAGGAGACCAGGAAGAAGCACCTGGCTCCTGGCTTCGGATCAGCGCAGCCATTGGGGGGGGGAGGTGTGAACCAACGGAAGGAAGACCTTTCTCTCTGTCTCTCTCTCTCTCACTGTATAACTCTGCCTGTCAAAAGAAAAAGAAAAAGAGAGGAAAAGAAAAAGAAAGAAAGTAAGGAAAGAAAGAGTATTCTAGTACATAAAATGTCTGAAATTCACAAGTCCCAATGCTACGGCTCCAGAGTTGTAGGTAGAAAATCATGGGTAGGGGCCATTGTGGCCATTTGGGGAGTGAACCATTGGATGGAAGACCTCTCTCTCTCCCTCCCTCTCTCTCTTCCTTTCCTCTCTCTGTGTAACTCTGACTTTCAAATAAATAAATAAATCTTTAAAAAAAAAATCATGGGTAAAGTCTCAAACAACCTCCATAACATTGGTGGTCTGTTATCTTTGCATTTTCCTCCCTTGGACAAGGCAGGATTTAGTATTAAATGTCCAGTACCTTGGTGATAATGAAATATCTATCAATTCTGATTTTATTTTAAAAATATATAAGGGCCTTGGTTAAAATCTAATACCATCTCAAGTATTGGAATGTGACAACATTGTCACAATGTTGAGACCAGCTCAAAGGAAGATGCAGAAAGTAGACGACTGAACCTGGTAACTCTGCCACGTTCTTGTTCATAGCAACTGAAACACTACCAGGAAAGAGCCA